AACAAACTTTTAAAATTTAATTATTAGAGGATGAGTATTGAAGTCTCTGACTATATTTGTGGATTTGTCAATTTCTTTTTATATTTCTGTTAGTTCTTACTTCACATACTTTGAAGTTCAAACATACCAGGTGCATGACCATTTAGGACTTTTATATATTCCTATATATATAAATATATATTTATCACTACAGAATCGCCCTCTTTATCTCTGGTAATATTATTGGCTCTGACATCCATTTTGTTTAATATTAATATAGTCATTCCACTTTTCTTTTGACTAATGTTGCATGATTTATCTTTTTCTGTCTTTTTACTTTTAGCTTATTTGTGTCTTTATATTAAGATCCATTTCTTGTTGGCAGCAAATAGTTGAATCTTGCTTTCTTACCCACTCTGCTTTTTGATTTTAATGTTAAGACAATTTATATTTAGTGTAGTTATGAATAGGGCTGGGCTTAAATCTTCAATCTTGATATATATTTTCTATTTGTCTCCTATGTTCTTTGTTCCATTTTGCTTTTTTCTACCCTCCTATGAATTAATTGGACATTTTATCTCCTTCATTGGATGATTAGTTATTCTTTGTTTTGCTGTTTCAGAGGTTGCTTTAGGGTTTGCAATGAACATTTTTAACTTTTACAGTCTGCAAATGACATACCACTTGAAGTATGCCATAAGAAACTTAACTACAGTAAGCCTTTTCTCCTTCCTAGCATTTGTGATATTGTTGTCATATATTTTACTTTGATATGGTATTACTATTTTTTAAAGTCAATTGTCCTATAAAAAGATATAAATAACAGAAAAATTGTATTTTAAATTTACCCACATAATTACTATTTCTCCTTTTTTAATTTTTTTATTTTTGAGAGAGAGAAAATCCCAAGCAGGCTCTTGGGTAGGAAAAGTCTACCATCTTTTTGCTTCAAGTATTTCTCATAACATTTCTTTTAGTTTCAATGGTAGTTAATTCTTTTAGTTTTTGTATACCTGAAAGCCAATTTTACTAACTATAAAATTCTAGATTGGCAAGGCTTTTTTTTTTCCCTTTCATTACTTTAAAAGTGTTCTTCTGCTGTCTCCTAGTTACATCATTTTTAGAAGAAATCTTCTGTCATTTTATGTCTTGGTCCCTCTATAAGTAATACAGTTGACCCTTAAACAATGTGGGCAGTAGGGGCACCAACCCCCCAAGCAGTCAAAATTCTTTATCTAACTTTTGACTCCCCCAAAATTTAACTATTAATAGCCTGTTGAGCAGAAGCCTTACAGATAACAGAAACAGTCAGTTAACACATATTTTGTAGATTATATACTATATTCATACAAGAAAGTAAGCTAGAGAAAAGAAAATCATAAGGAAGAGAAAATATATTTCCAGTACTGTCCTGTATTTATCAAAAAGAATCTATGTATAAGTGAACCCACACAATTCAAACCCATGTTGATCAAGTGTCAACTGTGTGTCATTTTTCTCTGTCTACTTTTAAGATTTTCTCTTTATCACTAGTTTGAAGGAATTCATTAGGTACTTTAATATAATTTTCTTCATGGTTCTTGTGCTTTGGGATTCTTTGAGCTTCTTGGATTTGTGGGTTTATGGCTTTAATATTTTAATATTTTTTCTGATTTTTTTTTGTACCTCCCTCCTTCAAAGACTCCAATCACGTAGTATATGACGCCACTTGGAAGTTCACTTGTGGGTCATTGATGTTCTGTCCTTCCCCTCCTCCTCCTCTCCCCCACTTTCTTTCTCTCTGTGTTTTCTTTTGGATAGTTTCTATTTCTGTCTTCAATTCACTAAATTTTTTTATGATGTCTACTCTACTCTTATCCCATCCAGTGTTTTTTTCATCTGTAGAAGTTTGATATGAGTCTTTCTTATATCTTCCATAATTTGATTTAACATGTTCAATATTTCTCACTTCTCAAATATATGGTATAGGTTATAAAACTTTCAATATCTGAAAATACCAATTTTTTAAATAGGTTAATTTTGATATAATTAAAATGCCATAAAACTCACTCCTTTAAAGTGCACAATTCAGTGGGGTTTTTTTAGTATAATCTTAAGAGTAGTGCAACCATGACAACCAGTCTGACTTTAAAATATTTTCATCACCTCAAAGGAAGCCCTATGCCCATCACTTCCCGTTTCTCCCTTCCCCCAGTCCCTGACAACCACTCATCTACTTTCTCAATGTATTTGCCTATAGTGCACATTTAATTATAAAAGGAATTATACAATATGTAGCCTTTTGTGGCTTGTTTCTTTCATTTAGCATGATGTGTCCAGAGTTCATTCATGTTGTAGCATATATTAGTACTTCATTATTGCTCAATAATATCCTATTGTATGGCAGTAGCATATGTTTATTTTCCATTTCTCATTTGATAGCCATGCATTTGTTTCTACTTTTTGGTTATCACAAACAATGCTGCTATACACATTAACGCAAAGCTTTGTGTGGACCTCTGTTTTCAGTTCTCTTGGGTTTGTTGACACCTACAATCGCAATCACTGGATGTATGAGGTAACTCGATATTTAACATTTTGAGGAACTGTCCAACTGTTTCCACAGTGCCTGTACCAAGTTACAGTGCTACCCACAATGTACGAGGGTTTCAGTTTCTCTGCATCCCTGTCAACACTGGCTTTTGTTTGTCTTTTATCTTGTAGCATCCTAGTAGTGATGTGTGATGTGGTATCTCATAGTTTTGATTGCATTTCATTGATGGCTCATGATGTTGAGCATCTTTTTACATGCTTATTGGCCATTTGTACATCTTTAGAGTAATGCCTGTTTAAATCCTTTGCCCACTTTTAATAAACTTTTTGTCTTTTTGTTGTTAAATTGTAGGAGTTCTTTATATATTCTGGATACTAGATCCTTATTAGATGTACAATTTTCTTTCATTCTGTGGGTTGTCTTTCACTTTCATGACAGTGTCCTGTAAAGCTCAAGCAGTGTTAATTTTTATGAAAACCTGTTTAATTTCCCTTTTGTCACTTGTGCTTTTAATGCCATATTTTAGAACCCATTGCCTAATCTGAGATCATAAAGATTTTTCTTATGTTTCCTTCCAAGAGTTTTATAGATTTAGTTGTTAAATTTAGGACTGTGATCCATTTTAAATTAATTTCTGTGTATAGTATGAGATAGTGGTCCAGCTCATCCCTTTGCATGTGTATATCCAATTTTCCCAGCACCATTTCTTGAATGTTAACCAATTTTATTATCTTTGTCACTTTGGGGTCAGTTTTTATTAATTTTTTTTTCTTATCTTGGGTTGTATTTTCCTGCCTTTCATACTCAATAGCTATTTATGGGATGCTTTACATTGTTAATTTTACTTTGTTGGATGCTGGGTACTTTTGTATTTATGGTGATGTTCTTAAGCTTTGCTATGGGACAGTTATGTTACTTGGAAATAGTTGGATCCTTTCTGTTCTTGCTTTTAAGCTTTGTTAGTTGGTCGCAGAACAGCATTTAGTTTAGGTCCTTCTGCAGATCTCTGGATCTTGCTCCCTACCCGCTCCTTCAGCAGCTCTCCCCGCTCCACTACTCTGCCCTACAAAACCACTACACTGACCTTCCCATACCAGCTCTGCCTCCTTGTTTGAAAATGTGCCCAGAATGTGTTTTAATCAGCTGTGGCAATATGACAGACATGGAGGACAGCTGCCTTTGGAATAAGAGTTTATACCCACAGCTCCAAGAGGAGTCAGGGTAGAAGGAAGGTATGAGGAAGGTGCAGGGATGCTAAGAGTCATCTTATTTGGAAGGAGAGGTTATAGGCACTGATTAATTCTAGACCACAATAGAAAAAAATATGTCTTACAAAATTTTAGGTATAGCTAACCAGTGAATAAAAACAGAATGTATGCACTCAGACTATTAGTGAAAAGAAATTTTTCAAAGATAGTAAAGGGGCTCCTGTGGCTCAGTTGGAAGAGCATTCAACTCTTGATCTCAGGGTTCAAGCCCCACGCTGAGTGTGAAGATTACTTACATGAATAAATAAACTTTAAATAAATAGGAAAAGAAAACATCATTCACGTGAAAGGGTGTGGAAAGAAGTGTTATAAATCACAAGGAAGTAAAGCATATACAAAACAGGATGACGGGAGTCAGACCAAAATATCTTTTTGATCAATAGATATGACTATGTTAAATCCTTTATTTAAGAGATACTTTCAAATTGCATTTTTAAAGAAGTCTACATATGATTTAAAGAGACATACTTAAAATGAGAAAAGATTGAAAATAAAGAAAAGGAGATATATACCAGGCAATGATGACCAAAAAAAAAAAAAAAAAAAAAAGCAAAGTGACAATAATAATACCAATCAAATGAAAAGGCACACAGTGTCGAATGAAAATTTTCATAGTAGTACAAGTAAGCCATGTAAATTAATATTGTCTCTCATTTTCGTCTTCTTTCTTAGGTATGTGACATCTTAAAAGAGAGAGGGTCAATTTTGCTCATTATGCAGTCAGTACAATGGGACTAACCCTCATTAAAAGTGCTTAGCCTTTAAACCTACTTTAAACCCTTTTAGTTGTATCTTTAATTTTTTAAAAAAGGTCAGGATAGCTTCACATTAGTAACTGCATGCAGTTTCCCTGGTATATATGATTTATCTGTGAAAGTCTGTGCTTCTAATCCTTAAATCGTAAAAACACACTGATCAGGTGCACCACACACCATCCGCTGCTGTGTCTGATGTCAGGCCATCATACTGCTGTGTGTTGCTTTTGAGAAAGGCAAGTGAGGAGAAGAGCAGGTTCTTTTGTAGGACGTGCTCTTGCTTCCAGAGGCCTTGCCCGTTGCCTGACTCACACACCTCTGTTGGCCTCAGTGATATCTCACATCATATGATGCTTGCTGAAAGGAAAAGGGGGAACAGGAATTAAATACAGTGAATTTGATATGTGTGTTTGCTCTGCATATTCCCAGTGTTTGACTTTTTTTTTTCTTTTTTTTTTAATGTAGCTAATGCTGCCTACCTTGGAGCCCAAGAAATGATGAAGGTGGTAGAGAGAGATAACGAAACCATAAGGACACATTTATCTAAGGTAATCACTTTCATGCTGCAAAGTAGTAAGTAGATGGGCAGCAAAATTTACTAAGCATGAAGGACTAGAACTGGTTAGAGTCTATAAGACCACAAGGGTTTGTAGATTTTTATACAGAGTTCTACTTCTAGTTAAAATAAGGCAGTTCTGGGGTGCCTGGGTGGCTCAGCCTGGGTGGCTTCCGACTTCAGCTCAGGTCATGATCTCATGGTTCGTGAGTTCGAGCCCCGTGTTGGGCTCTGGGCTGACAGCTAGCTCAGAGCCTGGAGCCTGCTTCACATTCTGTGTCTCCATCTCTCGCTCTCTGACCCTTCCCTGCTCATGCTGTCTCTCTCTCTCTCTCAGAAATAAATAAAAACATTTAAAAAAATTTTTTTTAATAAAATAAGGCAGTTCTGAAAGTTGCGTAGGAAGGAAGTAAAGCTGACTACATACTTAAATATATACTTAAATATACTTTACCACCTGTTTTTGTTAGTTTTTTTTTTTTTTTTCCAGAATCAATGATTCTCTCTAGGGCCTTATACTGAGAAGACTCTCAATAATATTTATAGAATAAATGAGTTATATTAATATGTGAGTAAAACACTGGACAAGAACTGACATCACTATGGCCTGTTGACTCAGCCTGTCTTTCTTTATTCCCCAGCACATTAGAGTAGGAGTGTCCAGCTCCGACACCAAGACCAGATTTCTATACAAGCAGATGCAGAAAGGCAAAGATTGAAATATTTAGCACTTGGGAGTTACTGCTGCAGCTTAACTAGAGTCTTCCACAAACACATTTGGAAACACCAGTCTCCAAAACTGTGAGGGTGCCATAGCCTAGAATATGTCTAAGTACCTTGAATTTAGGTGGCCCCAGTACCCCTGTGGCATCACTTGTCTGTCTGTCCATCCTGAATAGGATAGAGCTGCACTGTCTAAATAGGATAGCCGCCAGCCACGTGTGGTTATTCGTGGCTGGTCTGAAGAGAGATGTGCTGTGAGTGTAACACACACATTGGATTTCAGAAACATAGTACCCCAAAGGGATAAAATATTTCATTACTACCTTTATATCAATTACATATTGAAATGATACTATTTTAGACTATTGAGTTAAATAAAACAGATTATTAAAAGTAATTTCGTCCATTCCTTTATAAATTTTTTAATGCAATTACTAGAAAAATTTAAATTACATCTGTGCCTTTATATTTCTGTTGGGATGTGCTAACACAGAGCTTTATAGTCAGTGCTGAACCGTGACATCTGCTGGGTATAATGCAGCGAGCCCTGCTGAGTGACCAGCACACCAGGCCCAGGAGGCTACAGACTACAAGTAAAATCTTAGATACCCTCCCCTGGGGTTAGAATGTCTCGATAATCTTTGAGACATTTGACTTAAACTTGCCACAGTGTTAATTCATATTTCTAGAACCTCCCAATACCATGATCTTAAAGCATAAAATGTATACTTGTTCTTTAAAAAAATATTCTCAGAATATTGATCTATAGTAGCTTCACTCAGAGAAAGACTTTTGAAAAATCTGTGTTTGTCTTTATGGCCATAGTGGTCATCATTTTCTAAAATAGCATTTGGCTAGAGATTGAAATTTTGAAGCCAGAAGGAAACCCTCACTCGCTGAATGGGGAAGGTTGGGGCCTCAGAAGGACACTCTCTCCAAGCCTTTCAGCTGTTTCCAGTCATTGAAGGATGTAAAAATACAAGAAAAACAGTATTTTATTTTTCAGCTAAATTATAAGTGAATTTGTTTCAAAAATGAATTTAATTTCTCAAGGCTAGAAGTTCATAAAAACAACTCAGTTCCCAGTTAATAATAAGACTGGCGGATGCTCACTTCCAAAATTCACACTTGCTGAATGACTAGACCCATCATGTGTCAAAGCCCATCTTACCACCTGTGGAAGCCAGCTGCTGTAAAAGACTCATCATATCTGGATTCTGTTTGTATGTTGTGCTCCGAAAGAGGTCAAAAGAAGGTGCTAACTTATTCCTGGCCTAAGTTAAATCCATATGCAAGTGTAATCATTCCCAGATCGAAGTCTGCTTACGGTAACTGTGTGAGGACTGTAAGTTTACTGAAACTTTCAGGAGAGAAATATGGGAGTATAATGGTAGATGGCAGGCACTTCAAGGTTAATATTAACACAGTCACAGGAATAAACTTTTCCAACTACAGAAAATTGTTTTAAGATAGCATTAAATGTACTTTGGAATATGGGAGAGTAAGGCATTGTTTAGTTTAATGATGCAAAACTACCTTGCAGTTAATTGATTATCGTTTGTACTGGCTAAGTTTGATCTCTCCAATAGAATAATACAGTTGCAATTCCTAAGTGAAACGAGGTGCAGAGAGGAAGTTTATTGCAACTTTTTTTTTCTGTAATGAAAAAAGAGGAAACATGCTGTAATTTAATATTGGTAAAAGTTGAATCAACATATGCCTCAGTCTTGCTTAGCAAAATAAGGAAACTTTAAAGGGCACATACTTTTAGGAAGATGGTAGGCATTGCCTTTGCCTTCCAAACAACCCTGATAAGTAGTTCAGCTTGAAAACCGATTTCCAAGACTAAATCTATCCCTTTTTAGATACTCTAGTCAAGGATACCCTGTCCCATTTCAGCCCAAACATAGGCACTCAAAAACTTCATACCTATCCAGGACTTGTCCAGTGTGAAGATTTTTTGAGCATAAATTTTGTTGCAAAGACCTTTCAGTGTGTCTCAAATATTCCACTAATTTTAAAAACAGTTCTAAAAATGCATCTTTGTTAGCTAAAACATGGAAAGAGCCTAAGTGTCCATCAACAGATGAATGGATCAAGAAGATGTGGTTTATCTATACCATGGAATACTACATGGCAATGAGAAACAATGAAATCTGGCCATGTGTAGCAACATGGATGGACCTTGAGGGTGTTATGCTGAGCGAAATAAGTCAGGCAGAGAAGGACAAATATCATACGTTTGCATGTATAGGAGGATTAGGAGGAACTTGATGGAGGAACAAGGGGGAGAAGAAGGGCGGAAATGGTGGGGGAAAGGGAGAGAGGCAAACCATGAGAGACTCTTGAATGCTGACAAAAACTGAGGACTGATGGATGTGGGGGGGAGGGGAGGATGGGCATGGAGGAGGGCACTTGTGGGGATGAGCACTGGGTATTATGTGGAAACTAATTTGACAATAAACTATTTGTAAAAATAAAATAAAATAAAATAAAATAAAATAAAATAAAATAAAATAAAAATAAATAAAATGTGCAAAGAGGGAAAAAAAAATAAAAATGCATCTTTGTGCCATCCACTCAGGAAGCCATAAGATAGTCTAAAATAGTCTCTCTGCTATATTATGTGGATGGCTCTTGGATTCTTTCTCATCTCCTAGAAAACTGTCATACTGTAATCACCAGGCTTTGGTTCTAAATTCAAATTTTCTACCACTGGATTTCCATTGTCCATATGAAGAGAATTTTTTTTATCTTTTTGAGGAAAATGGACCTTTTCAACTTTGAAAAATCTACTGGGCTGATTGCCTGCCTTTCTTTCCTTCCTTCCTTCCTTCCCTCCTTCCCTCCTTCCCTCCTTCCCTCCTTCCCTCCTTCCCTCCTTCCCTCCTTCCCTCCTTCCTTCCTTCCTTCCTTCCTTCCTTCCTTCCTTCCTTCCTTCCTTCCTTCCTTCCTTCCTTCCTCTCTCCCTCCCAGGTCTATAGACTTTATATACAGTATCAGACAGTTATGTTTGTTAACAGTGCTTTAATACTATATAAAATTATTTCCCTTTCCTGAAGCAAATATACCAGACTCATAGTTGTTGCCAAAAGACTATACTGTGGTCTGTGGCATCATAGGTTGTGTTCTTTCTTCACCTGACTGAATCCTATCTGCCCTTTAAAGTTTATTTATTTAGGGGCACCCGGTGGCTCAGTCAGTAGAGTGTCTGGTTTCTGGTTTCGACTCAGATCAGGATCTCATGATCCTGAGGATTCATGAGTTCAAGCCTCACATCCACCTTCACGCTGACAACACAGAGCCTGCTTGGGATTCTGTTCCTCCCCTCCCCCCCACTCTTCCCCCACTCAAGCTGCTGTTCTCCCTCAAAATAAATAAACTTTCAAAAATATATTTAAAAAATAAAGTTTATTCATTTATTTTGAGAGAGAAAGGTGAGAAAGATAGAAAGAATCCCGAGGAGGTTCCATGCTATCAGTGCAGAGCCTGACATGAGACTCAATCCCATGAAACATGAGATCATGACCTGAGCCAAAATCAAGAATTGGACACTTGACTGACTGAGCCACCCAGGCACCTTTGGATCCTATCTGTTCTTTAAACCTTGGCTCCATTGTCATCTCCAGGAAGCCTTCCCCAGCCCCTGGTTTTGGTTAGGTGTCCCTCTCCCAGTTCACCTGGCTTCCTGTGTAGTTATAATATGACATTTATCACAGAATATTTTAGTGGTCGGGTTTGCCCTTTCCTCCACTTGCAGGTCAGGAACTATGTTTTTCTCATCTTGATATCTCTAAGACTCAGGACAGTGTATGACACCTGCTGAGTGATCAACAAATGTGCATTGGATGGATGGATGGATGGATGGATGGATGGATGGATGGGGAAGCCACCAGCGTAGAGAATCTAAGCCTTCTCTGTGCCATGCATCTTGTTGGCTCTCTCATGTATGGATCCCTATGCAAAATAATTTGTTTAAGTGCATGAAATACATATATGAAATTACTACAAAAAAGCAATTATACTGAAGTAGTACTTATCAAAATACTTAAAAACAAATTTGTGATAGATAGTATGTGCACCTTTATTAACACATTAAATAATGAGATATAATAGCAGTCAGAACTAATATTGAAAATATTTACTTATTTTGAGAGAGAACATGTGCATGAGTGGGGGAGGGGCAGAGAGAAAGAAAAAGAGAATCCTAAGTAGTCTCTGCACTGACATCGATAGCAAGGAGCCTGATGCACAGCCCAGTCTCACAAA